CTAGTACTAGCCTCGGCAAAAGAGATAAACTTATTTAGTGATTCTGCAGCTTCTGCCCAGCTGATTTTTTCCTTTTCTTCCGTTTCAGCATCTGAGTCATTTTCTTCAAGATTTTGAGTAGGCTGAGGGTTTACTACAATGTTGATAATGTCCTCATCGGTTAGTTCTTGTTCAACAGGCTCATTCTCGTCGATTAAAAGCCACTCCTCTACCTCATCTTCAGGCAGGTTTTTCAAGGGGTTGTCAGTACTTCTAACGACATCCCAAAACTTTGGTCAGAGCATCTTGATGGTTTTCTTCCTCATCAGTCTGTAGAGTTAGGTCAGATGTAGGGTTTGCAGCTGGCCAAAGTTTTCACCAGCATTTTTGTAGTGTTGTGGTTTTTTACCTGGTTCCAAGACTGTGCAATAGCATAGACGGCATCTTTTACTGTAAACGTTTTTTGAAAATCAGTCATGTCACAGTCGGCATTTAACAGGCCTTGAATAAAAGACCTTCTATAAAAGCATTTAAAATTTTGAATAACCCCTTGGTCCATGGGTTGAATCGAAGATGTTACGTTAGGTGGGAGCAGAGTAGCAACAATATTTCCAGAAACTAACTCATCTACTGGCGGATGGGCTTTGCAATTGTCCAAAAGAAGGATGGCTTTAGTATCTTCTGGTAGACCAAGGCTTTTGAAGGATTCCTTGACCTCAGGCACAAAGTGGTGAAAAAACCAGTATTTAAAGAGGGCGGCAGTTATCCACGCATTTGATTGAGCATCGTATTGGACAGGCAAGTGTGTAACATTCTTAAAAGCACTGGGTTTTGCAGATTTACCTATCACAAAAGGGGTCACTCGGTGGTTTCTAGACGCATTAGCACATAGCAAAACGGTTAATCTGTCTTTGTTTTTTTTTAAAACCCTTGGCTGCTTTTTTCCTCCCCAGCTAGTGTAGATGTTGGTAAACATTGCCACAATAGCCCTGTTTCATCAGCATTGTAAATCTGTTCAGGTGTTAAATCATTATCAGCCACGATTTTCTCAAACTCGTCTTTGTATTTTTCTGCAGAGTTTTGGTTTGCTGAAAGGGTTTCTCCAGTTACATCAAGTCTTCGAATTCCATGCCGAAACTTAAAGTTTCTGAGCCAACCATCAGAATAATTACATTCACTTTCAGCAACTACTAAATCTTGGCCAAATTTCTTTGCCTTTTCAACAATCATTGGCCCTGTTACCGGCTTTCCTTCAGAACGTACTGCACTAAACCATTTGAACAATACATTATCTAGCTGTTCCAGTTTTGGTTTTTTTAATGTTTGTCTAGAAGCCAATTTTTCAGTTGTTACCGATTGAGAAGCAAACTTCATTAGTTCATCTTTTTGTTTTTTAATGTCATAAATAGTTGATGAGCCAGTATTAAACTCATTCATTAAAACATTTCTATTCTCGCCTTTTTCTAGCTGTATGATGATTTCTAGTTTCTGATTGAGAGTCAGTGTTACGTGTTTTCGTTTCTCTCCTTTTGAACTCGAAGGCTTAGGTTTTGAAAACATGGTCACTGTACAGTTAGAACGAAAATCACTTTTTTTATAAACAGTTTCAAAAGTTACGTTTACTGCGATGTGAAAGGACACAAAACAACAACGCACAAAAAAGTGGTGAAGACGCTTCTTGATTGATTAACAGAGCTGCACTGCACCTGAACTTGTTGTGACAGCTGAGACTAGCCGGCCGCTAATTGTTTCCGAACAATACCGAGTGCTTCCGGATGATCTCGAACTACCCCGAAAACTTCCGAATAGCTCTCGAGCGGTTTTATTTGCTTTAAAGACACACTTTTGGAGAAAACCAAAATTTTTACAATTTTCCGGAGCGATGCCGGATTGAACTCTTGTAATTTATAATGCATCAAGTTCATGTGATTTATAATTTTTTCAGCAGTATTGAAATTAATAGCTGATACTGATAATGTTATACATTTAGATTGCCATTGCCTTCTTCATTGATGCTTTTATGCTACATTCCTAATATTTCATAATGGCATACAGATAATTTTGACTCATTCACCAAGCATGTAAATCTATAATTCAGACCACTTTTGTTCTTACATGTTCTGTATCTTCTATTTTTTTAATATATATTTCAGGCTAATTTCAAAAGGTCTTATGATCAAGCGGAAAAGTCACTAAACATTGGTAGTTCAACCCAAGTTTCTAATCCCAGAGATCCCCCAATCTCTTTCTTTCTTTCTTTCTTTCTTTTTTTTTTTGGTACTTATTTACTGTGGAAAAATGTATTGTAAAAATTTCAGTTCATGAAGTAAAAATATATTTGAAATTTATTCTTTAAAAATACTGCAAATACTGACCTTAGCATATCTCTTTACAAATTCCTTTAATAATAAAAAAATAATAATAATAACTCGGTTTCTGTGATTGATACTTGGTGCAAATTATATGTAACTTTTTTCAAAAGTGTAGAGTTTATATGGATATCAATAAATTAAGGATTATTTCTCCACCTAATTTTGTTAACATGTTTATTGCAGAATTTTCTTTTCACACTGTAGCACTTATCCTTACGAGTTTTCTATAATCATTCAATTTCTCTAGCTATGGCAACCATGGATACCTTCTGACAAGTAGTCATATTTTTAATCACTGTATTTTAATTTCTGTTGACTATCAGTATGTTATTTACTTGTTTCACAAGTGCAACTTTTATTTTATATGCAAATCTACATAAAATGGCAATAAAACTTCAGTTATGCGGAGCTCCTAATCGATTGTTTGTTTTAGATTGAATGAAATTAAGCTTAATGCTGTTAATTAGCTTGTTATTAATTTAATTATACATTTCTAATTAATTAGATGTTCAGATATTTCCAAGTATTGCACAAGCTTTTGCATCCCAACTTTTAATTTTTGAAAAAATAAGCTTTTATTTATTGAGAGGCCTGATTGATTATATTAATTTTCAGTATTGTTTATCTAATTCTTTTCTTCTAGATAAATTTTAGAAAAATCTTCTTAGCATAATAATTTAAAATTTATACGTCAGTATTCCAAACGCGTAGTAAAGTTGTTATAATAGATTTCATGCATTTAAAAAAAAAATTAACTATTAATTTCTGCAAACATTTACATGATTACTTTAATTAACAAAGAATATTTCTAACACTCTTTGATACGGAATAATCGTTTGCACGCCAGTGAACTATATTAAATTTTTCAGTCTAGTTCAGACATCATGACTATTATTGATGTAATTTATAAAAAATATAATTGGCATGCTTTATAATTATTTAATTTATGATGTTATTATAATACCTTTTGCTGTAATATTGTAATTAATGAAAGGTGTTGGTAATGCTAATATGTATGTTTACTAGTACCTTTTATTTTCTTTGTTAGCTCTTGCATTTATTACTGTTATTTAGATAATTAGCCTGCTTGTTAGATATTCTTTACTTGTTCTTGTGATTGTGATATGTAATTCTATTTCTTTATTTTCCTCTTGGCTACAATTCACTTCAAAAAGTAAAATTGTAACCCGTAGGCAACAGAGGGCAGGAGAAATTTTGATTCACGCAGTTGGAGTATACTCAGACAGAGGGAAAGAAATTATGATTCGCGCAGTTGGAGTATACCCTCAACAGCATATCTGTCTAGAAAATCAATACCTAATGTCATCCAAAATGTGTGGTTGATATCTCTAAACGACATACTTCACTAACATTCCAGCCATAATAAATAAGGCAACCAACAAACAATCAAAATCGGGCAAATGCATCCAGATAACATCCATGTGCAATTCAGCAAATAAAATCCATGTGAGATATGCAACTAAATAAAAAATCACTCACGTGCAGAAATGCCTAATGTTAGTTAATGCCTAGTTAAATGGTTTGCCATGCAAAACAAAATCTTGCCAAAATCTCATTGTTGTTACCATGCAAGACAAAATATCGCCAAATTTAGCAGCCGGTGTATCTGTTACATCTGTATTGAGTGAAGTCATCTATACTAAAAAGACATTTTCATATGAATGATTAATTCTATTCATTGAGATTTATTCAAGTGTACTCTCAATTATCTGGGCTAATAAAACAAGAGAAGCAGTTCACAAATAATTGAAAAGCATGGATAATCCAAACTATCAGTTTTGATGCATATTGTTATATTTTAATATTAAAAAAAAAAGTCAGTGATTTTACTTTGTTTTTGAGACTGTATAAATATTTGTCAAATTTCACTGCTTATTTTCCGAAGTGCTATTTTATCATTTTATTCAAATCTCTTCTTTTTGACAAAGTTCAACTGAGTTTCAATAGAAATCGTTGCAATCTTAGGACTAATATAATTGTCAGTGTCTTCTTTGCTTGTATTTTCAGTATCACTCTCTGCATCTTCTGGTTTTGTAACATTTGTCTTGTTTTGTTCTTGTAACTAGCTGAATCTTAAGTTCATGTACTAAGAGCTTCATACTCTTGGTTAGAAGAATCTGCACACAATCATGATCTCTTTGGACAACCTATTAACTGCTCTTTTGTGTAACAATATCATAAACAATATGTGTGGCAATTCTATATTCTTCATCGAGCTTGATTGCCAATTTATCATGTTCAGATTTTACTTAATGTAAGTTTTTGCTTTAATGTTAAACTTTCTTGCACTCGGTATTTGTAATGCATTCTGTGTTCATTTTTTAGTTATAAATTTTTAAAGCAGTTCTTAAAAGAATAAGAAGAAAATATATATGAAAAAAAAAAAAAAATCCATGTGATCAACTAGAACATTGTCATCAACTATCCAGGAAGAATTGTACAAAATAATCATTGAAACTAAACCTAAATGCAGTTCTTTAGAACATGCTTGGATTTGCATGTGCATGTTTTTTTATGCATAACATTGAGTGTGCGTGTGTAGTACCACCACGCATGAATAATCTACACCCGGATAATTGGGAGTAAACTGTGTGTTTTATTTTTTATATTGTTTAATTTTATTTCTAGAGCTGTGGTGGATGACGCTTGAATCGTCTGCCAGAAGTCAAACGGTTTATTTATCGTGACTTGCCTTTATTGTATCCTTTAAAACGTGCTATGCATACTTTTTATTTACCGTATTTGATGGCATATAAAACACACTTTTTTTCCTAAATTTGGCCTCAAAAAAGTTACCTGCGTCTTATACGTGAAGGACACAGGTTAACTTTCAATACTGAATGCTATTTTTAACCTGGATAAAGATCTAAACACACATAGAAAAACTTTTTTTCCTTGTGTGTGGCCTTCTAAATAAGGGTGCATCTTATATGCCGTCAAATATGGTAACTTTCTCTTTTGTACTAATTTTAAGGTTTAAGAAATCGAAAAAGATTATAAATAGATTTATAAAGTATTTAACTTTTTAAATAAGAGTTGCAAGTAAAATCCTTCTTTAAACTTTACTTATGCATTTATAAAATTCAAAGCTATATCAGTAACTTTTTGCTTTATCAAAACAACATATTTTACATATAAACAACATATTATTTCTGTTTGGCAGGTTATTTATCCAGTTACATTTTGATCAATTTTCTGTAATCAGAAAACGTAAACTGACGGTCTGTCTATGGAGAGCGCACTCCTCGTTGGTGCTCCACTAGATATGTCAGCCAGAAAAAATTTTCATTTGAAGAAGTTTTCAATTATTTTAGGTATAATAAACAGAGTCTTGTATAACTCACTAAGATTTGACTGTGCCATGTACTGTAGTGCAGAATATTTTATTCCAGAAGTCAAGCTTTTTAATTTTATGCCAAGTTTGATTGAAAGAAACCAATTCATTACACCAAAATAGTGATATCAGTTTCAGCTTCTGTGATGTGCTATTCTATCTAATATTTTGCTGGGGTAATAGAGCATTTTGCATTGAAAATAGCGACTGAAAGTTAAAATTTATAACTTATCACTGAAGTATGCTTGCTAAGATTTAATGTGTAAAAAATTTTCCGTCCATATATGTCCGTGACTTAGGCAGTAAATTATCAGAATTCTCAGATTGAACGCTATTATGGTGCTAGGAACTTATGAATATAAAATGAATGATATATATTAACCTGTAGTGTGAACATAATCTAAGAAGTAACAAGGAAGATATGCAGTACAAAGTTCTGGAATGGTTTGAAAACTGAATCCCAGCAACCTTTTGTTTTTTAAATTTGATTTATTTGAATTTTTTAAAATATTGCTTATTTGATATTTCTTCATAATAAAATATATGGAGAGTCTAGATTTCTTAATTCTTAATTTCACTGGGGTACTGATATCAAACCTGGCGAATCATTTATTATTTTTTGCTTTCATCACTACATGACTATCAACATGCTGCAGCTTGAGAAGTAACTCATGCAACGGTTTTTTTCCTCCCCAGTTAGAAACTGAATACCAAAGAGCATAGTAGCCTTCAGGGTCAGGGTTAAGCTTTTCACCACCAGGTGCAAACTCTGTGATTTCTGAATTCTAAAAGTTTTGCCCCCATATTCTGCCACCCGGGCACCTGTAGCACGGGCCCTTTATGTTGACATTAGGCGTGTTAATGATTAAAGATTTCACTTAATCCCACTACAAAGTGTTGATGAGGAAATATTTAATAGAAATTTCTTTCCATATGCAAAATATAGATTTCGTAAATGATACTAATAGGCTGAAAGATTACATTTAGTGCTGTTTGAATTGAGAGTAACAGATTATTCATTTAAGCCCAAGACTAGTGCCAAAGCTGGTGTGGCCACATTAGATGGCCAAATTTAGGAGAGATAAAAATTTAAAGAAGCATTCAGCAACAAAATTAAGAGATGGCAAAATCTTTAGAATTGGCACTGGGATGCAAGCATTATAGAATTTATGAAAGTGCCTAACTGCAGAACTTTTACTAGCAGGAGACAGCACAGATTTGTAAAATTTCTAGCTCCGACCCTGGGTAAGCCTTACTTAAGGGAATTTATTTATTCAGGACTTAGATAAGCCTTAAGCATGTGCAGGAAAGAGTCATAAGTGCAATAAATAACTAATGTATTTCAGGTTTCACTTCATCAACGTGCGATAGAAGGGGAAAAAAAAAAAAAAATAGAATAACATGCTTTTAGTAGTCAATCTTATGGTACATCGCTAGTGGTGTATAGTAGACACTGTCTAAGCTTTTTATGATGATAGCTGTGAATTTGGAGGTTTTCAGATATTGCAAACAAAAAGAAAAATTTTCCAATTAATGGAATTTGTGAAGAAATGTAGAGAAATAGTAATAAATGAAGATAAAAACAGAAGTTTTTCTTAGCAATGACAATGCCCTAGTCATCAGTTGACGAATGAATGGCAAAATCTAAAGTATGGTTCTAAATCCAGAAAATATTACAACTGATAGTTAAGAAAGTGCTCGAGAGGTTGCTGAGACCAAAAAAATTTCTATTGGTAATTCTCAATGCCGCAATTACAGGGTTTGAACACTGGAGCTTTATAACTGAATAAGAAACTATGTCTATACATAGAATTAAAGGGAAAGTATGAACACAAAAAACAAAGCAAATGAAACAATTTACTTTTGAATGAAATGTTTAATAAAGTAAACAAATAAATATTGTGTGGAGGTCATTTTAGATAGGGTCATAGAAGAGTATAGTGTAACATGTATTTATTAACAGGTTTTAAGTTACACACAGACATTACATTTAACTTTAAGAAAATTACAGAGCAAGAGTCTGATAAGTGGGCCGCTTGGCTTTTACTGAAGTACTTCTTTGGCTACTCACCAGAGGGCAGCCTTGTTATCACAATTAGTCTAACAGTTTATGTTAAGGGATTGGTTACAATATTGAGTGTTTTTTTTTTAATTTTGATTAAGGTAATTAATGCTTCATTATTTCATAAATCAATATTTCATATTTTTAATTTTATAAATTCTACATGTCATCTTACTAGATTTAAACTGATGATCTAATGTATGGAAAAATCTCAAATCCGGAATCATCGAAGTCCTGACAAATCCTTTGACTTTGCATTGTATTAGAATTACACAACACTTTCATCTGTGCTCATCAAGCTCTGATATTTATGTGTTTTCAGTTTTTTGAATATGATAATGTATGTGTGGTGTGCGCGTGCGAGCATCTGTTCATGTATGTGTGTAATAATTTAGGATGCAAAGTAAGACAAAAAAGAAAAATTAAGATAAAATTTTAAAAAATAAAAATCTGAAGGATTTCAGATTAAATTGCATCCAAAGGGGCATTTTTTCAAAGATTTTGTCCATTACCTTTGTTTATTAAATATCACGTTCTTTGCACTTAAACCATAAAATTCAGTTCAAGAGCAATACTTCCAGAACACATCCATGCATTAGAGTCCTGGATGATCAAATGGAAAATAAAAGCCAACATTGATAAATCAGAAGCTGTCTACTTCACCAACAGAAGAAACATCAACCTAAGCATCATGCTAAAAATGTACGATGTCAGCATTCCCTGGGCCAAGCAAGTCAAATACCTTGGTTTCATTTTAGACTAACTCACTTAGACCCCACACATAATATATATTTTAAATAAGTTTCAGGGTACTAAAGCATTACTCAACCCCTTAATTGCCCGAAACTCCGTTCTAGCTTTGCAAAGTAAAATTCATGTTTATCAATCCACGTTGTGACCCATCATTACATAAGCCTGTCCGGTATGGGGTTTTATTTGTGATTCTAAATGGAAAAAGATTCAGCAAAGTTAGAATATCACTCTCAGAAGGATGACAAACTGTCCTTGGTATATCAGAAACAATGCAATACACAATGAGCTCAATGTTATGAAAATAAATGTTTGCATAGCTAAAATTACCAAAAAGTTCTTCAGAAATATTGAGAGAGTGAATAACAGCTCTATCCCAAGTATAACTTATGATTATGCAGACGACGAGAATAGAAAAAGACTGGGAGCAGTGCTCCAGCACTTAAGTTAATTCATTATACTATGTTCTGATTTGTGAACGTATTTACCCTTGAATCTCTTAATTTTCCCAGTAAAATTGTCTTATTTCACCCAGTTTAATGAAGTTTTTTTTTAAACACGCATAAGTGTCGCCATCTACATTTAATATTTGTAACTACTTTAAGTTTGTGCCACAACTGTGTCACCATCTAGCCTTAGGATTTTGAATTCTGTCTATGCACGAAGCTTTTGATACACTTAGGCACTATACCCATATCCTCTAAATTTTAACTTACCCTATTATTTTTCCTTACAAATGACGTTTAGGCCAACCAAAATTATTTCACTCTGTGATCTTATTTTACTGCAGATATTTCAATTCATTCAACTTTTATTTCAACTCTTTTAATTATTTACTATATCTACTCTTAAGTTTGATTAACACTTAGCCCCGCCCACCCGACCAATGCATGATTATCAAGATTATGCACTTGCCTTCCAGGTACACCATTGGACCACGTGACCCAGTAGCTCCACCCAAGTCACTGGAGAACTTCTATCTTCATTCTTCTTCGCCAATTTGAGCACCAGCAGCCTTTAAAGTAGCCTGCAACATTTAAGATATGCATTATTGCGACAATTGCCATGATATTATTGCTTGACAACATCTCCAGATATTTGAAGTGACTAGCTCAACATTCTGTATATGCATAAGTCTCACCACTGCTTTTCACGAGATTTAGTCTCACCTATGAACTATGCCACATTACGTTAAGGACGTCATGCCACTCCATATGTATTATATGTAGGATGAGGCTTTTTAGTCCAGGAGCCTGATTCAACATGCTTTGCACCTGGGCCTTCAAGAGCAATATCGCAAAATTGAGCATATCTTTAGAATTTCCGATACAGAGTTTCATGAGCTGGAGATACAAATGTTTTTTCTGTACAACATTGCCATTGCTCGCTTTGAAATCCTTGAGTTTGTTAATCAAAAATTCGTTAAAGTTTTACAAAATTTGAAATAGATCATAAAACAAATATCAAATTTGGGCATTCACATGCCCATATTCACAGTAGGATTACATCATTCAAAATTCAATGGCTCTATGTACCATTGTTTTATCATAATGCGAGAAATATCCATACATTTATGCAGTCCACCAGCGGCCAACCGGTAATATCGCTGAACACTGGTAGTTCGGTCCCAGGTTCGAATCCCGCAAACGGGCTGGCTGCATGGGCGTTTTCGTGGTTTTCCCCATGTGTAACGTGTATACAAGCCAGTTTCCCTTAGAAAGTCCTCCACGAAGGCATCCCTTCCCTTAGGCTAGATAGCCCTAGTGTGCTTTGCCGTATTCTCAATACACACACCATACATTCATGCAGATTTTTCATTATTTAATTTCTTCAAGTATAATGCAGGACTCTAACATTTGGTGGCAGCAGTTTGAATAGTGCAACGGACATTTATAGTGAACCAATGCAAAATTGCAAAATGAAAACAATAGTCCTTGGACTAATAATTGAAATCATGGTTGATGTTGTGGATAGTGTTGGTATGTAGAATGTATAATTGCATAGGTGCAGTCATATACAATTTTTATGACTATCTTTAGAAGCATAGTCTGATTTGCACATATTTATAAGCACAATTTGCACCTTTTGTACATCTTAAGACAATGAACAGAAATACAGTGTATAGCATCTAAGACAAATACAGTGGATAATAGAGAGAAGTGAGCTGTTGCATGTTAGCTGGAAGCAAGCAGGGAAGTACAACACATTCCAAAGAAACCCTGGAAGAGAGGCAAAACGTTATGTTTCTTTAAAAAGTTTTTACTTCATTTCAAATGTCATTTGACTCAAGGTATATTCTGAAAGTTTGGCGATTTCTACTATGGTTCATTGCACTAATATTATAAGCACCTTTTACTTCTACCATTTACTTAAAGGGAACCTTTTGTAAGATCTAAACTGGAGGATGAGCTTATTTTCAGACATGGTTTTTTCTTCCTTAGTTCCCCCCCTTCTTACTTAAATCAGCATGTTTTTAAGTTTTTTATTATATGTATTGACCACCTTCTTACTTAAATCAGCATGTTTTTAAGTTTTTTATTATATGTATTGAAGTATACATGCATTAAGAGGAAAAAAATTACAAAATTTTAAACAAAATTTCAGTGACTATGCAGATCTACTTTCTTATTTGCGACATCTCTTCAGAAAAGGGCCAGAAGGTGTGTATGCAATAAAAATAACAAAAACAAAAAGAAATCCTATTCTATTATTTTTATCTATTAACTTTTCACAATTTTACACAGTTGTCCTTTTAGTTCTACACAGTATTATATTTTTCAATGTTTTATCTAATATTTTAATTCTCTAAAATCCTTTTCTGCTCTGATGTAAATTATTTTCAATGTTAACTTTTTTATTTCTGTCAGGGTCTTAAGTGTTTGAAGATAATTGTTTACTGGATACTATCAGCCCCTTTAATTGCTCCACTAATGTGAGACATTTTGTCAACAGCTGCACAATAATTGTCCATTGTTTGCATCTGTGCATGCTTGGAACATTATGACATGTGTTTTATTTGACATTTAAAGAAAAAGAAACAACAGCTGATAATTTGAACCACCTTAAAAAATTGCAGATTTTAACAATTTGTATATCTGCATTGGCAGTAAATTATATCATTCTCAACATTGACTGCTGCTGATTATCTAATGTGCCTTTGCAGTACAGTACAAAGTCTTTAATCTGGACCTCAAAGCTACAAACTTTCTGTGCATGCGCATAATACCTTTACATATGCGCGTTTAATGTATAATGGACAGTATAAGCTATGCTAAAATTATCTAATTATCTATTTCAGTTAATGTTGCAGATTGCGTTGTTCCTTAATCTTCTAATTGGATCCGGCTTATTATTTTTTGCAGACTGTTAGAGCAATTTTATAAAAAGTAAATTTGAACTTTCGATTATGTCAAAAAGAGTTTCCGATTTTGGAGCTGCCAAAGGATCTACAAAGCAAAAGCATGTTTCGGTGTTCATCAAACAAAAATTGCTGCAAAAAATGGATAAAGGCATAAAGAAAGTGACGGAGAGGTTAGTGAAAAAGAAAAAATTTCGATTGACAAGTTAGTCGGTATTCTCGGCACAGCAATTACAGGACTTGAACAGTGGAACTTTGTAACTGAACAAGAAATTATGTCTGTTTATAGAATTAAAGAGAAAGTATTGGCACATAAAACAAAACAACTTAAACAACTTACATTGAAAGAAAGGTTTAATAAAGTAAACAAATAAATATTAAGCTGCTTCTCTTTTTTTTTTTTTTTTTTTTTTTTTTTTTTTTTTTTGTGTGTGTGTGTGTAAATTTTGATACTCTTTAGATCATAATTGCTCTTTATTTCATAAATTACGGTTTCATATTTTTAATTTTATAATTTCTGCATGCCATCTTACCAGATTTAAATTGACGATTTATAATCCGGAAAAACCCATAATCCGGAATCGCTGAAGCCCTGACGAATCTGGATTAAAGACTTTGTACTGTATATATTTTGCATGGAAATTTCTTCTGTTGAACTTGTCAGTATAATTTTATCTTGCAACCCTTCCTTTCTTCTACTTAAAATTGTTTTTGTCACTCAGTGTTATGAATATCAACATTAAATTTTTTGAGAGGGATATTCCTTAGTAATATTTTATATGAATTTGAGTCATTTTGGTAAAGAGTTTATTTCTTTTATGGAAATTGTATTTTCATGCTAATTAATCTTAACTGTGTAAGTCATAATGCTGATTTTAAGCAAATAAGTGGAGCAGTCCCAGAACTAATATTTTTAAATAGAGATGGTGAAGAAATTGAAGTAAGTAATTTTTATATTTATGCTTTTAAATATAAAGTTATATTTTAATGTACACTTGTTTTAATGCATAGTGTAGAGATAGAATGATTAAAGCTCTTTGAATGTGCTGTTTCCCTGCTGTTAAAAATATGTATAATTTTACTTTTATTTTTAGAAGTAGTTTATGAAGTTGCAAGAAAATATGTTAGAAAATTATGTATACTAATTTTTTTAATACTGTTAAAAATTTTAATACACAAATTAAGCTCTAAAGCATAGTAGTGAATGTTTAAAAGCATGTTGAAATCAAAGACTGAGGTCATAATGACTGCATTTTTTTTATTATAAAGGATCATGAATTTATCTCTGAAAATAAATCAACTAACCTTACAAGGGATGTGTGTGTTTGAGTAAAAAACAGGTTAAGTATGTTAGGAGGGAGGAACTTTGATTCTGCACAATGATTTCTTTTACACGATAATGCTAGACGCCATACAGCGTTATCTGTACAACATTATCTTGCTGACCATTCAATTGCAGTGATAAATCACCCACCATATTCTCCAATCTTTACTGGAAGTTATTTTGAAAGAGATAAATTTATTTACAGTAATCTTCTCTTATTTATGAGAAATTGTCCAGTTATTTTATGTACGGACCTTATAAATTCAATCTTTTAGATACGAGTCTAATTTACTGATAGTCAAAAGACTGTTGCTGCAAATAGGAAGTGATTTCTTAAATGGGGACAGCACTAAAATAAGAAACCTTATTTTTTTAATTACCTTAAAAGGATTCAAGCACCACTCAAAAAGGGGGGGAACGTAATATTTACTGACCTGTCACCATCATTCCAAAATGTAATGGATGACAGCTGCAGGTAAAATTATTAAATGATCACAATGACTGCAGCCAGTCTACAATTAAAGTAGACATCTGGTTGTGTTTCTGTCTTATAGCATGAGTGAACATTGACAATGAGATTTTTAACACAATCCAAAAGCATATGGTTTTGCATGTTTGTTCTTTAAGAGCTTTAGTGACCCAGACAATAAAATTGGTCAAATACATCCATTACAGTGTAATAAAGACCTAGTGTGTGACAAGCAAATGAGACAATTGTTATCAGCAAGGTATAATTTAAGAACATGTGGGTAGTTGCATAATAGACTGAGAGTTGAATAAAAAGGATCTTAAAATGGAATGCAGTGTTCAGAAGTTGCTAGCAGTATACAATCATGGATGCACAATACATGTTCCTCGCTAACTGTACTATATATTTGAAGCTTCTGTAGCTGATTCTGTTCTTATTCAGTCTTAATCCTTCATCACATATACCCTTTTATATTACATTTCTAAATGCACCGGGTCAATTTGATGGTAATTTTTACACTAGCTTCTCAGTGAGATAATGCATTTTAACCCCCCAAAAAATTATACCTAAATAGATTATTTGGATACTTTTTTAAGTGTCAGTATGTATTATTTGTTTTAAAAGTCAATTTTCAGAGGGGGGGGGACTAATTTAAACTTTTATTTTGTATCCCTTTTCAGCATTCATCCTTTTTCTGCCATTTTGAAACATTTAATACATACAGTTAACAATATGTTACTTTCAAAAAAGTGTTTAAATAACATTAAAATGAAAATTTTTAATCGGGTTTATATTGGAAAATTTTGAGTAAAAAGTGCTTAAATTTTGAAATTTAAGAAATTTGGAAAATTTTGAGTAAAAAGTGCTTTCACTTAAGCATTCATGTTCATTTGAGATTTATTTAATTTTCTTTCTTTATTTTTCTTGTTAATTATTTAATTTTCTTGTATTTAATTTTGTGGGGGTAAAAAATTTGTTGATATAATGAATGAATGGGTTTTACACAATGATTTATCACATTCTTTACAAACAGATGAAATCTTTCAGTCTGGTTCTTTTGGACACTCTTCACATTGATGACAAGTTGGAAATTTCACCAGTCTATCATCTGGAAAATTTAGAATCCATGTTCTCGGATCTCTTAAGAAGATATTACTTTACTGAGTCAACAGCAAGTTACTTAAAATAGTTTCGTTGGGACAAATGATTGGTTTCATTGTGGAATTTATAGATAGTATAAGAATATATGCCTGTGATATTTAGTAAACTGAAGAAAATTGTCAAAGGTCAACGATAACTTTTTCTTGACACTAAATATACACTGGTTATCATAAATTAAGGAAAAATCACGATTACTGAAAAAGTTACATGTAGAATTTTATGAAACTTACCCGCAATATACAACACATAGTAAGGTATCAAATAACATAAAAAGAAATTACCAGACAAATATGGTTGTATAGAAATTAGCACATGTATAAAATGAAAAAAATCGAAGGTGTCAGTTTGCTATAGGAAAAGTACTTTCAATATGAAATATGATCGCCTCTAAAAGCAATATCAGCACATACAGCGATATGTGATGCTTTCAATTATGTGGTCTGTCAGTTCTATAGGAAGTTAGAGCCATTGCTCTTGCAAAGCAGTTGCAAGCGCGACAAGGGTCTGAGGGGGCAGATTGAGAGCAGTTAGACGTCTCCCTAAAGCATCCCAAATGTGCTTGATAGGATTCAAGTGCGGGTATCGAGCTGGCCACTCCATGCGCATAATTGTTTCCTGTTGAAGATAATCATCTACGATGTGAGCCCTGTGTGGTCTTGCGTTGTCGTCCTGTAACAGAAAAGCATCACCTATTGCCCCGGCATATGGGTGCACATAAACATCAAGGATGTCAGCTCTATAAATCTGAGCATTCACAGTTCCCCTTGGAAAGACATGGGGGTCTGTGCGTCCACCCAAAGAGATGCCACCCCAAACACAGACACTGCTCCTTCCGTATGCATCTCTTTCACGGATGTTTGACGGATGATAATAGGTTCTAGGTTCTCTCCATATCAAATAATGCCTACTATTGCTTTCTAGACTAAACCTGGACTCATCCGTAAAGAGCACAGCCCTCCACTGATCAGGCGTCCAGTGGACATATTGTCGTGCCCACTGAAAGCGGTCCCTCCTATGGCGTGACGTGAGCGGCACACAAATGGCTGGTCGCCTCGCATACCTTTCTTTAGGGACTTCATTTTTATTCATCCTAATTGTACCTGCAGCTGTAATTTTTTTTAATAGCAAATCTAATGCTAAAATGGGAGTCGATAAACCAGTTATCCATACTTATATTACAAATACTTTGATTAATTAGAGCAATAAATATCTTCATGACATGATTTGGTTTATTGCTTGCTTTAAAAGGTTACCACACCCCCACACACCTTCTACGCACAGTTGACATTGACACCAAGAAGCCTTCTACGCACAGTTGACATTGACACCAACCTTCCGTTGGCTGCAGCAAGGGAGGATCTAAGAAGAGTCGGAGTAGCGGTTCTATCTATTCCTGTGTGCACATAATGTCAAATATCGGTCATCGGCGCTCGTCGTAGCAGTTGGCTGCCCTTGGCTGAACCTCCTAGATGCCGAATCTGTGGTTTCAAATTGCCTCCTGATCAAATCTGTGGTTGCAAAGTCTATGAACAACAGAAGGACTCACATTTAGCCATTTGGCCACTTCTGTTTGACTTTGTCCTGCCTCTAATCTCCCAATGGCTCTCCATCACAGTTCTGCAGGCAAATGATGCCTGGAGATCATTGTTATGAATTGGCTATCTCAGATTTCTGATATCACTATCACAGTGAAATATGTGGGCTTGCTCTCAAACATGGACTTTTATGCTCCTTGCAGATGACGTTTTCCGAGTGCAGCACCACTAATTTGCATATTGGAGATTTACTCAGCTACTCTTACTTGTCAACATATTCAAATTTTACACGGTTTGGCTTATTTTTTTTGGGAGTTATCGCTATCGCTTTTTGTGATTTTTCCTTAATTTATGATAAGCAGTGTATTATCCACATCTCATCCACAGTATCTATTCCTCCTTTGGTCAAGGTGTAAAAGGTAATCATTTCAAGTTTACATAAATCACCTTAAGTCAAATTGATTCTGCAATCCAAAACAAATGGAGATAACACCAGGACAGATTTTCATTTTTTAGGAACATGTGAAAAAGCAGTTTTTACTCATAAAATCCAAAAAGTGAGAAATGTGCAGTCCTTGACTTAGGAGGTAAAAATTCTTTAGGGACTTCATTTTTATTCATCCTAATTGTACCTGCAGCTGTAATTTTTTTTTATAGCAAATCTAATGCTAAAATGGGAGTCGATAAACCAGTTATCCATACTTATATTACAAATACTTTGATTAATTAGAGCAATAAATATCTTCATGACATGATTTGGTTTATTGCTTGCTTTAAAAGGTTCACTATGTTGTTGTCCATCATTCCCGATTATGTGTGTAAAAAAAGCAGGCATACTTCATATAGTACAGGCACTATATGAAAACTCTACCATATTTCTCTTTTTTGTTCTTGATGTATTGTGAAACTGTCATCTTCCATGAAATGGTTCAAGTTTCTTATTGATAGTATAATACTTATAAATGCAATACACTTTTTTAAGATTATTAACTATTTTTTCAAAAAAATGTTTCTTATTAGGACTAGTCTATCAATTTCTTTTCTCACTTGATGATTAAATGTATGTTATAGAATCTCAAATGTTGAAGGAGGAAATGAAAATGGTTGATTGATATCATAGCTGGCAAAATTTGCATTCATGTTCCATTCATTGATGAAAAATCTTTAGCATTCGAGTGTGCAGCTCTCATAATGCCAGCATAATAAAGTAATTTCGTTTCTGCTTTGTTGGTTGACAGTGCATCTGTTTTGCGATTAAATTTTGTTTTGATTTATTCAAAATTCATGCATTTGATAATAACATTTACAATATCATTGTTAAAAAGGACTAAAAAATTTCTATAATACCTGTCTGAGATCTGTAATTTGGCTTTACATAGGGTAAATATAACATAGTTTTTGATCTTCTTCACACATTTGTCAGGGGAGGTCTTGCCATCCACATAGTTCTG